GTTATCAATGTGCTTTGTTTTCTCATGATGAACCTGATCCTTGGTTAAGCATATTGCACTCAAGCTGTCACAATACACTAAAACCTGATCCTAATGTGGGCCTAGATCATTAACCAGTCCATTTAGCCATATTACCTCCTTAGCTGCTTCTGTCAAAGCCATATACTCTTTCTCTGTAGTAGCCAAAGTAACTGTAGGCTGTAAAGTTGCCTTCCGGCTTATCACAAAGTGAACACATAACCAGTCATAGATCTCCTACTGTCCACATCTCCAGCATAATCAGAATCTGAATAACCAGCAACTAAGCATTGAGTGTCATTACCATAACAGTGACCGATATCAAAGGTACCTCTAAGATACTTGAAAATCCTCTTCACAGCTTGCCAATGTTCCTTTCCAGGATTGACCATGTATCGACTTATCACACTAACAGCGAATGCTAGATCTGGTCGAGTGCAGACCGTAGCATACATCAGACTCCCAACTGCACTAGCATATGGAACTCGAGACATGTACTCCTCCTCTTCAGTTTGAACTAAGTACATTTTCAACTTGCAGTTAGACGTCATTGGAGTATATATAGGCTTGGCTGAAGGCATTCCAAATCTGCCTAACATCTTCTTGATGTACCCTTCCTGTGAGAGGAAGATTTTTCTCTTCTTCATTTCCCTATAGATTTCAACTCCCAGAATCTTACGAGCAACACCCAAATCTTTCATCTCAAATTTTGCACCGAGTGAAGCCTTCAACTTTTAGATTTCTGACTTACTCTTAGCAGCAATCAGAATATCATCAACATACAAAATCAGATAAATGCGTGAACCATTATGTACCTTGTTGTAGTACACACAACAATCATACGCACTTCTGTTGTAGCCAAGCTACTTCATGTAACTGTCAAACCGTTTATACCACTGCCTTGGGGACTGCTTTAGTCCATATAAGGACTTCTTCAACTTGCAAACATGATTCTCTTTTCTTGGAACATTGAATCCATCTGGCTGTGTCGTATATATTTACTCCTCCAACTCTCCATGTAAGAAAGCTGTTTTCACATCTAGTTGGTCAAGTTCTAGATTCTGATGTGCAACTATTGCTAGCAGCACCCTTATTGAGGTATGTCTAACCACTCGTGAGAAGATCTCGTTGTAGTCTACTCCCTCTCTCTGACTAAAACCTCTTGCAACCACTTGTGCTTTGTACTTTATACCCTCTGCAGCAGACATTCCTTCCTTCTTCTTGAAAACCCACTTGCAAGTAACTACCTTTCTATGAGCAGGCAGTCTGACCAGCTTCCAAATCTGATTCTTATGAAGAGACTCCATCTCTTCTCCCATTGCAGCAAGCCACTGTGCTGACTCACTCGCAGATATTGCAGCTTTGTAGGTGGACGGCTCATTATCATCCACCTCCTCGGCCACTTGCAATGCTTATCCTACCAGATCATCGAACCTATACCTCGCTGGAGGTCTGAGTCCGACACTTCTTGATCGGTCTAGAGCAACAATCGATGCATAACTTCATCATAACCTGTTTCTGGTAGTACAGTCTCAAAGTGATCTGTATCCTGCTCATCAGCAACTGGTTGTGGTAGTTGGTTTTTGACCAACATAGGTGCCTGATTTTCCTGTGAAACAAATTGCACCTCCACCTCCTCAACAACAACCTCTTTCTCTGCTGTATCATTGGTCTTCTCTTTGGCTTTCAACATGGAGCTCTCATCAAACACTACGCTCCTACTCAGTATAATCTTATTGTAAGACCAAATTCTGTACCCTTTCACACCAGCACCATAACTCATGAAAACTTCCTTCTTAGCTCTCGGCTCTAACTTACCCTCATTTACATGATAGTAAGCTGTGCAGCCAAGAACTCTCAGATTTGAGTAATTAGCAGATCTTCCAGTCCACACCTCGTGAGATGTTTTGTAGTCAATGCTTGTGTGTGAGCTCTGATTGACCAAATAGCAGGCTGTTGTAATTGCTTAAGCCCAAAACCTTCTAGCAAGACTAGCATTAGAAAGCGTGCATCTAGCTTTCTCCAATAGTGTCTGATTCATCCGTTCTGCTACACCATTCTGCTGTGGTGTATACCTGACTGTGTGATGCCGAGCAATTTTTTGATCCTTGCAGAACTCATTGAACTCAGATGAACAGAACTCCAGACCATTATCTCTTCGCAGCCTTTTGAACTTCTTTCCTTTCTGATTTTCAACTAGAGTCTTCCATCCCCTTGAATCTACTAAAAGCCTCTCCTTTATGCCTCATCATAAATACCCACGTCATCCTAGACTAGTCATCAATGATAGACAGAAAGACCCTGTAGCCGCTAAGAGACTCAACACGAGAGGGACCCCAGCAATTTGAATGAATGTAATCCAGCTTGCACTTTGTTCGGTGAACTGCCTTAGAAAACTTGCTGCGGTGTAGTTTTCCAAACACACAATGCTCACAGAACTCTAGACTCTTGGTTTTGTGACTTCCCATAAGATCTTCTTTTGACAGAATCTGCATTCCACGCTCACTCATATGAGCAAGCCTCATATGCCATAGTCTGGTCAGATCAGCATCCTTAACCACTGATGCAACAGCTGCAGAACCTGTTACTACAGAGCCCTGTAAGACATACAAAATTCCCTGCTTGACGCCTCTCAAAATCACATCTGAACCTTTGCACACATTCAAACCTCCACCTTCGCATTTGAAACTGTAAACTCTACTTTCTAGCAGACTAAGAGACAACATATTCTTCTTTAAAAGTTGAACATGCCTGACTTCTTTGATTGTGCAAAATTTTCCGTCATGTGTTATGAATCTAATTCAGCCGATCCCAATCATCTTGCAAACAAAGCCGTTTGCCATAGAGACACTACCTCCATCTACGCAGCTATATGTTGTGAACAACTCCCTTGTTGGACGGATATGATACGATGCTCATGAGTCAAGAATCCACACATCAGAATGATGAGTGTGTTCATCGGCAACTAGCACAATATCAATTTCTGAATGAACATCATCTTTTGCTATTGCTGCAGAACCAGATTTATACTCTTGCTGCTGCTTCTAAAAGAAGCAGCAGCAAGAGTATAGGGCATTCATTCTTCCAATGACCCTTCTCCTTACAGTATGCACAGACATTTTTGGATAATTTAGATTCTGATTTCTGATGCTTCTTTTTCTTACCATCCTTACTTCCATTGGCCATTAATCCGGAAGCCTGATTGTCTGTACCTAAACCTGAACTAACTGCGTTGTGACGCAGTTACTTGTTGTGAAGCGAAGACCTAACCTCTTCTAGAGACACCGTTTCTTTCCCAACGATGAAAGACTGCACAAAATTCTCATACGACAGAGGTAGAGAAACCAACAGAATCAAGACAGCGTCCTCATCCGACACCTTCTCATCAATATTACGCAGATCTAGCAAAATTGTATTTAATTGATCAAGATGTTCCATGAGGGGCGTACTTTCAGACATGCGCAGGCCGAAAAGACGCTACTTTAGCATCCGCTTGCTAGTCAGCAACTTCGTCATATAGAGGCTCTCCAACTTCAACCACAAGGCGACGACGGTGTACTGATCTGCAACTTCTATGATGACATCATTAGCGAGACACAACATAATCATCGAATAAGCACTCTTCTCCATAGTTTTGTATTCTGCAGAGTTTGCGTCCATTCCATTCTTATCCTTTGTCAACGGTGCCCACAAACCATGTTGCTTCAGCAAAGCGTGCATCTTGATCCGCCACAGACTGAAACTATTCTCCCTGTAAACTTGTCGATCTTCGTAATGGATCCAGACATTATTCTGGACTGAAATTCAAACCCGAGCTCTGATACCACTTGTTATAACGGAATCAAAAACGATAAAGACAGAGAACAACACATAGATTTACGTGGTTCACCAAATTGGCTACATCCACGGGCAGAGGGAGATCAGATTTTGATTAGAAACAGAGTTACAGTATACAACGACGGCTAGGGTTTACATAGCTACTACCCGACGAGAATTGGGCCGCAAGACATCGGCCCAATATACAAAATAGACGAACCATTAAGGCCCGAACTACAAACATCGTGTACCGATTGGCCCAAGGGGACTTCGCCCCCTGACTCACTGACCTGGCAGCGAGACCCCAGTGCTACCTGTCGAAGTGTGTAATTCAGTCTTTGGATTTAAGTCATCACAACAGTTATGAAGAAATTGATTGGATTCTTGTTAGAATTTGATAGTTGTGATATAAAACATAATGGGCATTGTTATACTATTGGGTCTACCTTGGTTACCCGTTTACTCTCATCCTTGTAGTTATGTAGTGTTGTGGACTTGATGGGGTACTTCGTACTCTTTGCAACACTTGACACCTTACAAGAAATGACATCTTCTACAGCACATGGGAATAAGTGTTTCCACGATAAAAATCACAATCATCACTTTCGGAAGGATTTGGATTTCCATTGGCTTTCGCCGACCACCACTCTACGTCTTCGTCCATGCTATTCCAGATTTCTTCCGGTTTCGGAGTGAAAGTGACCGGCTGTCTCCTCCCACCTTTCTGTCTCCCTCGGTCATTGCATTGTCTCGCATGCGTCCGCGTCACGGGGCTCACGAGGGTTGATGTTACGCCATGAGCAGCCAACGCGGTACAAACAGCATCATGCAGTTGAGCGACGCAGCGTGGTCGCCGGCACCGACTGCGGTAACTGTAACTGTGGTTGGAGATTTCGGAGAAGATGAGATTCCCGATTCCTGGGCAGTTGTTGGACCAGAGGAGGAGCTTCGCGGACACTCACCGGAGCCTGTACAGACTCATCGGATCGATGGCAGCAGATTGTCTCGGGCAAGGCAGCTGAATCTGCGTCCTCGCCTCAGCAGTGACGTCCGCAGGGCTTCTTAACCACCTCTTCCCCCACCACTGCCCCCACGCCATGGCATCAGTTGGAGGCCATGAGATCTCAGACTCAGCTCTCGCGCTCGATTACTTCAATTCCCCCGGAGTTCGAGTGAGTCAAGTATACCCGTCACAACTTCGGCTGTGCATCACGTGAGGCTCACATGGAAAGGCTGCCATTAGTTTTATTGCCGAGCTTAATCAATCAATTAATGAATCAATGAATCAATCATTATCGTCTTCCTGTAGATCACCGCGGCCTGGAGAGGGAGTCTGTGCCATTCACAGTAGCGATCGGTTTGTGTTTTGAATTGGAGAGGTCCGATTTCGTTGATGAGTAGGAGGAGTAGTAGCACATCCAGTAAGATAAGGACTCAGGAGCCGGTCGGAATGATTGACAGATGACGGGATTCGGCAGTTGACTCACTCCGTCGCTGGGCTCGCGACAGTGGGGAAGCTGAGGTGAGCGATGCTTAGAGCCTCGAAAGCTCAAATTCGATGGCGCGATTCGAATAAGAGCTTCGGGTCAGGTGAGGTGGAAGGTGGAGGAAAGTCATGCCCCGTCGGACGCGCAACACGTGTAGCGCTGGCAGACCTCTCGATCACGAGAAGCAACCGATGACAGAACAAGGCCAACGTGCTGCGCTCCCGAGCACCTTCGGGCGTTTAAAGAATCCCGAGCCCCGACCCGCGGCGAGCGATCGGACTCATCATCCTAAACCGCGGTGGAGATCGACACCACCGTCCCCGATCTGTAAACTGCGATCCGCGAGTAACACAAGTAAAATTCCTCGGCCCATCCGATTACCATCACCATCATCATCGCATTCTACGATGACGACGACGACGACGAAAAACTCATAATTCAATCGCCATCGGCGGAGCTCGGACCGATGCTCGGAAGAGAGAGGCCGAGAGTGTCACTTTGCTAAAAGCAGAACCGCCTCGAACGACGGGGTGGTGGCGGTGGTTGGAGCAAGAAGCAGAAGCAGAGGTCGAGGGGGTATCGCGCGTGTCGTTTGCGGCAGCTCTCGCGCCGCGATCACTCGCACGTCTCTGATCGAAATTGAGAGCGAGAAGCCGTGCCCGGACACGCAGAGAGCGACAGTGGCAGGTCTGTCTCCCCGATCACTGCACAGCGATCGATTGATCGATCGAGCGAGGCCGATGGCGTGCGGTGCTCGCCCGTCCATTGGCCGCGAAGCAACTCGAGCGCTTTCGCCATCGCCATCGAAAGGTCACGCGCATTGACTTTCGCGCAGGCCGCGCTCACAGTGGCCCGGGCGGGCGAGCGAACGGGCGGGCCGCGGGGGCGGTCGGGCGAACCACAGTTTGAACGGAACTCAACGGGTGTGACAGCGGGACCTTCATGCTCGAGAACGATGCGCTAGACGAGTTCGGAGCGTCGGGCGGTAGCAGCGCGCGGCTATTTATAAGGGAGTGAGTTCGAACTCGGAGTGCAGAACAGTGAGAGCGGGTTAGGGGCGGAGCATGAGGCGCGGGCGTCGTGGGGTATGAAATTCGAGCAGTGGCCGCCCGGAGCTGCGAGAGAGCGCGCGCTGGCCCATTCAAGAGTGGACTCGGGCGCGGCCGTTCGGTCTCTTGGAGCCGCGCGAGCGAGTGTCGTCACTGACAGTCCCGCTCTCGTCCTCCCGCTGCTTGCTCCAATTCCGCATTGTGGCCGTCGTCGTGCGAATTGCAGGCGCGATCGGCGGGTCGCTGGTGCACGAGCTCGTTGGCAGCGCGAGTCCTTTCGAGCGAATTCTGCCGGTGTCTGACGGTGGCGTGGTGGCCGAAGGTGGAGGAAGCTTGTCTCCGAGCGCAATTGTCGCCTCCAGGTCTCTTTGCTACTACTGCTGCTGCTACTGCTACTGCTGGAAGATTTCTTCTCACGGTCCCAGGACAATTTTGTTGCGGGCTCCGAGTTCGGAGATAGTGGCTCGACGTTTTTAATCCTTGCCTGGAGTACCATCGTCTGAGTCCTGTCGAGCTCAAGTTTACACAACGACCAACGGAGGCAAAATGGCGGTTGCCGGGCTCTACCGGCGTTCGCTTCCTTCACCTCCTGCGATCGAATTTGCATCTCCTCAGGGCAAGGTTAGTAGCGCTGTCCGCTTGCACATGATTAGAGTTTCGTCTGAATATTGAGGGCGAGAGCAGCTCGTAAAAGAATTGGGTCTGCTAAGGTTTTACCATTCACGTTCCGGGATACTCTGCGTCGGGCTCCGCGGCTTCTGATTGCTCAAGACGATTGAGCTTGGTCCTGAATTTTACTCATCCCAGAGAAAAATTCTTTCTGGATATTAATTCACTTGGATTATGGATTTGAATTGCTTCTCGATAATTGTGCTAGAGTGAGTTACATCGGAGCCCTTCTGTTAATAACTCGTGTGTGGAAAAGCATAAAATATTATATGTTGTCAGACGCATGCCCCGAACTGAAGTTTCGATTCGGGGCATGTAAGATTCATGTCGGGCACGTAAAATTTATTCTTCGGACCCACTTCGAGCAATAGTTCGGTAAAGGTCGCCCAGCTAGTCCGTAGATCGATAAGCCCCGGTCTAGCGTTTATCCAGTATACAGCCACAGAGTACATTATCATGATACCAAGTTTTTTGCTCTTTCTTACGTTATACCAGATGTTGCGCTTGTTGGTTCTCGGTTGCCAACAGCGCAGCAGAAAGTTTTTCTTTGTATCTACTTTTGACCACGTATGGACGTTTCCTAAAAATCATAACGACTTGGATAGGATGTCGTGAAAGTTTCCTATGTGGCTACTTCTTATCTTTCCTAGTTATCAGACAAATTGGCCCGGTTTGACATATTCTACCCGTTGTTCTCAGTGATCCGCTAGTTTTCAATTGGAGCTCGAGCTCTTGTTTATGAGTGTTACTAGCAGCCTGGTTTTGTCGTGGTCCGGTTTGCTCTACGGACCTTCTGACAGGTTTTCGGCGAGGGCTCAGTTTTTAAAATGTTGAGGAACTGTTAGACCATGAACGTAGGCTTTTGAAAGTTTAGATAGTGTGTGGCAGAAAGTCTCCAAGTACGTCGATTTTGTAGTCTGAATATCGTTCTCTTTACTCAGTGTCTTCTATCATGATTTCAAAGGGTGGAAGGATATTTATTTTGAGTAGAGGTCGCTTTGATATTCTCCTTTGCTCTTCAATTGATGCAACGGACGTGGTTGCCTTGGCTTGTGCATCTCCCGCGGTCATTTACCTAACAGCGGGCAAGTGTGGTTTGACTGCAATTTGTACTCAAGGCAGTCTCCTCTTGTGCAGGAAATTTTTCATGAGGCTCTCAAGGATGGCACCATGGAAGGGTTTTTCCACCTGATAGCCCACTTTCAGACCCAAGCTGAGCCAGCCTTCTGTGCATTAGCTTCGCTATCCGTTGTTCTCAATGCACTTTCAATCGATCCAGGAAGACCATGGAAAGGTACTGTAAATGCCGTCTCCTCATCGTGTATTGACTGTACCTGTTATATAGTCAGTGAGGCTGTTATGTTCCATTATAATTTGATCTTTTATTCTCACAGGACCCTGGCGGTGGTTTGATGAATCCATGCTCGAATGCTGCGAATCTCTGGAGAAAGTGAAGTCCGAAGGAATGACCTTTGCGAAAGTGGCATGTGCCGGGGCGTGTGCTGGAGCTGCTGTGCATGCTCTTCGTGCAAATGCTAGCACTTTGGAGAAATTCCGGGAGGATCTTGCCAAGTGCTGCTCGTCAGAAAGGGAGCACTTGATCGTGTCTTACACCAGAAAGACATTCAAGCAAGTGTGGCTTCCTTCCCTCTCTGCCCGATCATATTCTTTATTTCTGCAATAAATGTTGTCGCAAAAGTCCAGGAGTTCATCACTATAACCGTAATTTGCTGTGCGTTATCTACCGTTTCCTCGTGAGAGTATTCTTGAGAAAATGATTGGGTCGATAACAAGATTTTTTCTGTCAAATTGCCGATTACTTTTGTAGGCAGACTGGGTCTGGTCACTTCTCTCCGATCGGAGGCTACCATAAAGGAAGAGATTTGGCACTTATCCTGGATGTCGCTCGTTTCAAGTATCCTCCCCACTGGGTACCAATTACCATGCTATGGGAGGCTATTAACTCGATCGATCCTACCACAGGAAATTGGAGAGGGTACGTTGAAGAGTATATCGTTTCATCTTTTATATCTTGGTCAGAGTTGATGCATCTGTCTATCTCTTTCACCGAGCTTGCAGTCCATAATTCTTGTATTTATAGCATCTGCCAGAGCCTGAACACGTGGTGAAGTTGAGAGGCTTTCGGTGGTCACTGTAGTCCCACTTCGACATGATCGGAACTGGAGCTTCACCTACTAGTTATTTTATTGGGTATTTATGTTACTTAATAAGCGCATCTGCTTGATCACAGGTACATGGTGGTTACCAAGCCGGAGCGACCTCCGTCAGTTCTTTACACACTGGTGAGCAAGAAACCCTCATTTGTCCCGGTTCCATGTGCATTCACGGTTTAGTGGCTTTATGAAGTTTTTTATATGTAATGGATTCAAAAGTCGTTCCTGTATAGTTGCTATAAAGTTGGATTGTTACCGGTATCTGCAGTCTTGCAAGGATGAGATCTGGAGATCTATATCAAAGTACCTGATCGTGGACGTACCCAAACTTCTCAAGAGCGCTGAAATAACCAATGTCCAAGAAGCTGTGTCCGTTGTACTGGGATTGCTGCCTGGAAAACCGGAAAAAGTAACATCCTTTGTGAAGTGGATCGCTGAGGTCAAAAGAGCAGATGCAGCTCCGACAAACGGGTCTAATGAAGCCGACCTTGCTCTTAATGCAAAGGTTGTTTTTTGTATCCTACTCATTCCTTACCCCAAAATTGTTCAAGATGCTCAAGCTTCACTCGTCGGTTGGACAAGGTTCATCGAAACGTATACTTCTGCTCGTCCAGGAAGGGACTCTTAGTGGGAGGAAAATTCTTTTTGGGTTTCACATCTGTTGGGCGAAGGAAAACTGTAGAAGTACCTTCCAGAACACGAACTGAAAGTTTTGCTGCACAGCGCCCATCCCCGTCTTAAAGTGCAGTATAGTGTGACTTTCATGCGCGTTACGTTCATCTTCTGAGCGTAATGGGGCCGGAAATTTGTGACTGACGAAGTGTCGTGTGCAGGTGAAAGTGATGGGCGAGCTTCGAAACACAGGGCTATACAAAGTGGTCTTCGACTGGGCCAGTGTTTCACGGATCGGATGTGAATGTAGTCTGCCGTCTATCTCTGGAGATGATCTTCCCTCAGCTGTCAGAAATGCTTGCTGTCAAGGGGCAGCTGTGTTGTGTGGGATGCAATTCCAGTCCTCTGCCTGTTGTAAGAAAACTTCAGTGACCACTTCGGTGAGCACTAGAATCAACAGCAGTGGCACTGAGACACTGGTGGTTTCTGGCAACGTGGAAACTATGGAGGGAGTTCACAATAACGTCGACGTCGTTGTACCCACAACGAGATGCTGTAGTGCAGGAAGCGTTCCAAGTGACATCGAATCTTGTCTTCCACTCCATCCCTCAACAGCGGACTTACTCACAATATTGCTGTTCGCACTACCTTCAGAAACTTGGAAGTCAATAAGAAACGCGGAAGTGCAAAAGGAGTTGAGCAGTGCTGCTGCAAGCGAGAATTTACCAAGATCCCTGAAGGCTGAAGTAAGAAAAAACGATCTTTAATCAGGATATATGTTGCGTCAAGCTACTACATGGTTTAATATCTGTCGCATCAAATCCTCATTCTTGGCAGCAAAATACTGATCGTTGCTTTATTTGATATGCTCTGCCTCTGCAGGTGGAAAATCTGCAAGAACAGCTATACCTCGTGCACAGCTGGTGTGCAGAAACAGGAGAAGGAGATTCTTCTCAATCGGGTGCGGCAGCCTCAGCCTCCACTTTGATATCCGGCGTGAAGGAGCAGCCAAAGCCGGTGCAGTAGACACCATAATCAGCATGTCTATTCGGTCATGCTGATTTTTATATTAAGTCCAATGAAATGGAGTATCTATGTGTACTATACAGATGACAAACATTAGTTCGGTTGCCCTCCCATCCAGCGGCAGGGCAACCGAACATCCACAAAAGTTTCATCCACAAAAGTTCTGGAGATGTCTCGAGAGAGGGTGACGAGCACTAACATACCCTCTCCAGATGAATTGTCCTATGAAATTAGGTACAGGAAAGACCGTCACGCAAGTTCTGTTCCAACGTAGTTCATGCATTATAGACCAGATTCTCGTACTCTTCCAGTAACAGTCACTAAAAAGTGACACGAGCTGAGATTATCAAACCTCTAGTATCGGAAGTAGAACTCTCATGTAAATTGATCATTTGTTACAATTGGCTCCAAAGCACCCATTTCCTTCCATTATGCTGAAGTTGATACATTGTCTCGCGTGAACATCTTGCGTTGTGGTTATCGCATCATTTCATGCCTGCTTCATGGCTTCTACATACATGCACATGCTGCTGAGCTCCCTAAAGTTTTTCACTGTTTTGTTGCTATCAACAAGTCGGGCCAGTATGAAAGTCTTTCTTCCATTTCCCGTTCATGTTGAAGTGTACGCTGAACACTGAGGTTCAGGATATTAGCGCATTTGGTCAGTCTGATTCGGATACAGACGACAGGTTTCTCTCACTGACACAGGTCTTCCTTCATAATCGTTCCAAAACGAGGTGATTTGAAAGTTTACCAAGGAGTTGCGGAAGGTGAATTGGGCTTGCATCTAAGCTCTATAGACCTTGACAGTCCCATCCACCCAACTCTATTCTAGAATTCCTACCCTTGCTCCTTAATTGAAGTTCACAAGATTCGTTGGATAGATGGGTAGCTCAGCGTTCAAGCAAGCAACCCTTGCTAAATAACTCTCCCTGTTAAAAATTGGCCATTGGGACGATTCATATCCCGTAAGACCATTTGAAGTGAGTCAATCACACACTTAGAGGCCGATCCACTGTTTCGAATGTGTCTGCATCGTGCCCTGAATCTGACATGAGAATCGCAGCACAACCGAAGTGAATGAAGAAGACGAAGAAAAAAAGTCTCTGATGTTCAGCAACTCGACGTGCTCTGAGTCCGCACTGGTGGATGAAGGTCAAGTTCTGGCGCGAGACACATTTCTGAGGAAGAAATGTCTCAAGATATGAGCTTGAGATCCCATGCTTGTCATTCGGAGTTGGTCCTGCCTGCTTGGGAAATCAAGGGTATTCTCGCCAATGTCTTGAGAATTCTGTCAGTGCGTCTGGAACAGACTTCACCTACAAGGCGAAAGTGTAATCACATTACATTTCCTCGAGAGATCCCTGCTTCGCTTCGAGAAGTCTCATCCACCGCACGGAACGTTTAAATGTTGGTGTACGTTTAATCAATTGACTTCCTCCCAGGTCACGGGGTTGACAGTATGGTGTACAGGGCGAAAAAGAGCAACGACGCAGAGCAACTCGGTGTCCTCGTAGACGGTCAATCCAGAAGGCTACGTGCGCGAATCGTTTGGGATCATACGACAACCTGCTTCCGAATTCAACTGACATTCTAAATTACTCTGCGATGGAAGCAGTTCTGACTTCTGTCTTCTTGTGTTACCCGATCCGCAGTTCTTCTCCTTCTTCGGCCCTCGGTCTAGCATGCGGTCTCGAGGCGTAGAAATCAAGGCACTGGGGACTTCTGAGGTCTTGCACTCTCGGGTCTGGCCGAGCACCGCATGCTTGTGGCTGTGAGGGCATAGGTGATCAGACAGCTGGGGCCGCCGATCGATCACACATCTCCATGCACGTCTGCCTGTCTGCCCATAGTGCGAATCCAATTAAGAAGCTCAAAATCATGTGAGATCGTACGTAGCCGAGATATCCTCGAGATGCTGCGGTAGCAGCAGGAGCAGGTGCGTGTCTTCCACACAGGCATTGCGAAGGCGAGCGGGCATGTACAACCGAGTGAGTCAGTGGAAAGTTTGAAGAAGCGGATTGCGACTTTTCGGGGTCTCTTGGAAGGCTGCGAGGCAAGAAAGGACGGACCTAAATGTGTGCCCGTCACGCCGAGAAAATGGACACTGCTGTACGAGAAGATGTGCTGGATGACATTGGATTCATTCGTACACCCCTCGACCTCTGCCGGATCTCAGAATTGCAGGGCTGCCGAAATGCAACATCATGCATCACGTCGTTGTTGTAACGTTCTGCGTACGGTCTCGGTCTCGGTCTCGGTGGTGGCGAGGTTGCAAATGGACGGGAATGCTCGAAACGAGGACCGGCCGCATCCGAGATTCAGAGATCTTTGTGATCATTGCATTTGGGGAAACGGACGAATGACATCTATGTAATTGTACAATCTTGAATCGATGGGGGACGATTGGCTGGCGCTGGACAAGGTGGAGCATTTCGCTTCTTGTTTTCTCATCACCGCAGTCGTGGTTCATCTCGCTGGCCGAACGAGGCTCCGCAAATGGAGAATTATGGTCGGTGCTCTGGTTGGGTTAGTGGCAGGTGCGGCCAAAGAGGCAGGCGATGCAACAGGCATTTGGCCTTCTGCAGGCGCCTCGGTGAAAGATGGAGTGGCAGATATGATCGGCGTGGCTGCAGCAGTTCTTTGGAACTTATTTCTTTCTCCTCTCTGGAGACAGAAACCTCAAGCGATTTCCAAGGATGGAATCGACCAAGTTTGAGCTTGAGCTAGAGCTTGAGCTCGAGGTCACCGACCAACCAACCAACCCACCCACCAACCGACCGACACTGAGAGGTGCTTTGCAACTTCGCAGTGCTGTACTGAGTGCTGCCATCATTTCAGAGTGTTCAACGCCTCTCTCGATCATCTGAAGGTTTCTGGAGGGTCATTGCAGGGCAGATCACGCCCCTTTCTCGTCCTCTACCTTTCACAATGCACTTCGCTCCTCACAGCGCAAGAAGGCACAAGGCTCAAGACTCAAGGTAACCACCACTTCTCAGCACTGTTCCGAAAGGTGGATATGACCACATCGTTAAAGATGAGATTCAGATGATGCACTTTTCTCGAGGCGATGACTGTGGATATGAACAACTGTTTCCAACGAGTCAGAGGTGTGGAGGTCCGAATCTCGAGCGTCACCACGTCGTCAGTAAAGAAGAAACGGAGATCTCGAGCTCAAGCAGGTCACTGGTCTGCTTTGCCACTCAGTCTTTCTTCACTCGGGGCCAATTTCTTACAATTTCTCTGGTAGCGTGCTCATCATCCTCTCGAGGCCAATACTGGAAGCTTACTCTGCGAATGGCAGGATATCCATAACATTCTGTAACGCCATCGACTAGAGCGATACCTTCTGCCACCGTCTAGCATGTCGTTCAATCGCCACAGTGGTGTTTGACTTTGATACAAGTTCTTCTTCCCATAAATTCTGAAGTGTTGTACCTCTCTACACTTCATAAGGGGATCAGCGGATTGGCAAAGTATCACGGCCCTGGTCGATGTGCAGTTCGAGTGTCTTTCTTTCTCGGGCATGTCGATGTAAAGAGAGTTTTTCCCGTTTCACTTAGGTGAGCTGAATTTTGAGTGATCTGGCTATCTCATGCGCTCGTTGGGTTCTGTGGAGCAACTGGTTTTGCATTCTGGACGGATCCATCCCATTCGGGAAACTTGTGTACGTTTTGTTTCCATGGTACACGCGAATTGTAGCAGTGTCCTTCTGCTAAGCTCGAGTCACGGAGTTGTCAAGCCGCATCTTGCCTCCGGAAAGTCGAACAGGGCATCCTCAAGTTTTTTTTCAGTTCTTCTTGATGAGTGATTGTTATCACACTACATTGTTTTGTATAGAAACGATTGGATTCCAGTTGATGCAGTTGTAACTTGGTATGTCCTTGTCACTTAATCTCGATATTCCAGAGAAGGTGGTTTAACGACGTCAAGTTTCTGTCAGCGAGTCGGTAGGAGGCTGTCAGTGACAATGTCAGGGTCCGGCATTGATGTCAAACGACTTGTCACGAATGAGAAGAGGGGACCAGCATTCCTAGCGCTGGGTTCAAAAGCCATCGAAGCCCATGTCCTTGTTCAGGACAACTGTCTCGCATAGCTTTTGACTTTGGGTGTCTGAGGCCACTATGCTCTGTCCTTCACCATCTTGCTCGACGTGCTGTATTCTACAATCTTGTGCTTCTGAAGATATTTGACTTACTTCTGACGATATTGTAAACGTTGGTAAGAAGCACATCGTTCAAGGTAGATTTCACCTTTCAGCCTCGGTTGTAATGATCGATCCGAGCTCAACCAGCTTAGCTGGTCATAGCAGCGTTCATGGATGAGCTTGGTAGGCAGAACTGCTATTGATTCCATCTCTTCAATGGACGTTTATGTGTAGTACATTTTCTGGCTTCTCTATCAATAGGGAAACCACAAGGTTGTTCTGTTGTTACAGGATAAGGTCCTGGTTCCATTGACTTGAGCCAGTCGTTCAGATTGGAGCGTGCATGCCGATGTACGTGTCCAATATCGAGCTTATCCATACCCATCAAACTTTGACTTCGAAGCGACAGGATTGCTGCCTGTAAGGAGGGCAGCAAAGCAAATTTGTCAACAACATGCATGCCCCCAACTGTAAATTCCAATTTGTAACAGTAGGTTGAGGTTGTGGTTGGAAGGTGCTGAAACGAATCAACTTCAATTAGTGCTGTGGTGATCGATGTCGTCTGATCCTTGTTATGCAGCGGATTCAGAGACCATTCTGAAGATGGACAGGTCGTATATAGACAATGGCTGCCTGTTACGTCTACTGCTTCGTTTCTTAGATCTTGCAATAACGACCAAATTATGTTGTGTTTCGGTGGTGAGGCGAGACCAGTAAAATCGTTCAAAACTTCACCTTTTGGAGGTTGTGTGCACCGGCTATTACAAATGTGAGTTATTGTGTCTAATCGATTAGCGCTAGTGCGGGTCTGTAACCTCTTGCGGTGCTCTCTTTACATGGACCCATAAATCAGCGGCCGGGTTCCATAAAGTTGCTGTACCAGGAAACATCCAGGAACAATCCGGGCTGGCATTCTTGGATCTTCAAACGAGTTGAGACAGGGAAATGCCAGTCCCCACTAGCTGTTGCATCCTGAGCATATCGATATATGCTCGGCATGCAATGGCTTGTGGGACCTGGTGTAAACCTGTACCTTGTCATGAAGGTCTGAATCATGTACGTTTGATGCCAGGAGGGTTTTCAGACGAACTGTCCAGACAGTTTCAAGTTAACTAGATGCGGATGTTCAGAAAAAAAGGAAATGATCGCACAGAATCGGTCCATTCTGCATTCTCGCGTCATCAGTACAATTCGATTTATGCTAAGAGTGAAGACCAGGTTTGAAGAAAAGCAGGAACATGTCTGTCTTAGTCTAGGATGATTTTTGTCCACCTCTGTTGTCATGTAGGCTCCGAGGCTGCACTGTCGTGAATATGTTCTGATGGTTGTACGTTTGCAACTCGGTGCATTACCTTATAGAGACTTGATGTTTGATCATCTTTGTAGGTACCTTGAAAGCAAACTTATATGTGGATTAAGACGGAGGCAGTGACACTCTTTCGCAATGTGGATGATGATCCTGTGAAGCAATATAAACTCCACTTGAGATCCTGGAATCCTACCCACCACCATGACGTCACCTGAAGAAAAGTCGTTGCATGACAAACGCCGACTCATTCTGTTTACTGGCATTCAAATTTGCCAAGGTCTGTTGACCAAGTGGGCGATTAGAGTGTAGTCCACTGTGAGCCCTGATATCATGGCTTATGTAGCAGTATAAACTCATACATTTCGATTTCTGCGTGTCATCCTTGCGGGGGCCATGCTAATCTTCTCTGTATCGTTCCCGAAGGATTTTAGCGGATGTTCCCGAAGGGACATTTATTATAGTGGAGTCTGACCACCAAAGAAATGATAGACCACATTTGAAGAAACCAAGGAAAGGTAGAAAGCGTAGCCTTCTGGAAGACTCATGGAATGTCGAGTCTTTCTAACTGCCTCTGGAAAGGGACACCAAACACCTGGCATTCAAGGTGGCTGTGGTGCGATGAGTTCATTCTTTTGTTAAAGAACTGGGGATTGGAGGCAGACATAGAGCTTATATCAAGCTCTGATATCTTGGGATCCAGAGCGGCCCATTGTAGCCATTAATCTCAGAAATATTCTGATACATGCTACAGTTGATTGCTTGGGTCTCCGGTCCCTTGGACTCTTGCCAAGGAGAAGTTTGAGTTTGGTATGTTTTTTCTGGTATATCTGGTTCTGTGTTAAGGATGGAGTCGTGAAGGCTTTCACATATTTAATTTATTGACACGGTTCGGAGAGATTGTGGGAGAGTTATCATATTAGAATGCAATTGGATCAAAAATTTGTAGTTGATTTTGTGATTTCTTTTAGTTAACAATTTTCATGGATATACAAATCATACTATCGAGTATTACACATAATGTGGCAATCACAATTTATATGAATTTTCTGTTATATGAATTTGTGGGTCTTCCACTTGTATGTAGATACTTTTATCTTTCATTATTCAATATTTTATGAACAACATGAGACATTCATCAGTGTGATATTCTTGGAATTCGGCCTTTCATCCCAAGTTCGGTTTCATACTTCTACGGTTTGATTGGTCTTCCGTTACTTTATGCTAGTTAGCATGCAGCTCATTGACTTAATATTAATAAGCGAAAATCGGGACGGTGTTATATTTACCATTTAGTGCGGTGGTCGGTGGTTGCTTGGAGAGATTTCTCCCTCTGGACGATAGATGGTTTGCAAAGGTGTGGAAGAGATCAGTTGGCATTTACGGATTGGAATCAACAACCAAGCAAAACCTATCACCTTCTCTTATAAGCCTATGCGTTCAGATGAGAAAGAGCATTACATATGATTCCATCGAGCCACAATGAAACTTACTAGACTGCGTAATACACATATTGAACGGAATCACTGATTTGTGATCAGTCGGATTGTTTTGATAAGTAGTAAGTCCTGTACATATAGTTTAGTAGTCTACAACGGTAATCTATAACGGTAGTGTAATGGATAACTGATCATCTGAGTCCACTACTTTGGACATTGATACAGGTGTCAAGTCTTATGTAATATTAGCACTCTAAGAGTAACTTTCGAATCTAACTTATTCTAACACCCTACCTTGCTCTAGAGTGCATAACGTAGATCTAAAAAAACTACTTCTCTACGTCTAATTCTTCATCATCTAATTGTCAAAAGAGTTTCTTCAATTGGCGTTGATAGACTTCGTAGACCGAGATAATGTCTGTGCTGATTAAAATTCAGCCTAGGAAGAGCCTTGGTCAGCATAATTTGGTGGAGAGAAATCGAACTTCAATCTCCTTCAAAGTTACCGGCTCCCTGATGAAATGATGCTGGACACCAATGTGCTTACTTCTTGCATGAAAAACTGCATTCTTAGCAAGTTTTATAGCACTCTCGTTGTCACAATGAACTATTGTGGAATTAGTCAGTGAATTGGGAGTGGGAAGAGCAGAAGTGATCTTAATATCCTTGCAGGAGAGAGGCGTGGGTCTCAATGTGATTGTAACTGGATTGATCTCATGCAAGAGTTGTCGAAGTCAAACAGCTTCATGTGCATCAAAGGACAAGGCTTTATATTCACTCTCTGTAGAGGAGAGTGAGATGAGAATCTGCTTCTTAGAACACCATGATATTGCCCCTCCAGCTAGTGTAAAAACGTAAGCACCAGTAGATTTGAATGTGTCTTGGCAAGAGCCCCATGTGGCATCTGTGTATCCTTGCAGTTGTAGTGGAGGACCTCGCTTGAACAATATTCCCTGGTCTAAAGTACCCTTGAGGTACAGCAAGGTTTGGAAGCCAATATCAAGATAAGCCTCTTGAGGTGATGTCATGAACCTTGAAAGTTGTCCCACAGCAAAACAAATATCAAATCTTGAATTAGTAGCAAACATCAATTGGCCAACTAGTTTTCTGTAGAACGTAGGATCAACAAAGGGAGTGCTGATATCTTCTGTCAAGTATTTTCCATCATTGATTAGTAATGTAGATGGACTCCAATCAAGCATATTAAAATCTTTTAAAACTTTGGTGATATAAGACTTCTGATGGATTACTAATCCTTGTGGTGACCGAGAGAACTCAACTACTAGATGATCCTGAATTTCACCTAAATCACTCATTTCATACTAACGCATTAGATCTGACTTTATCTCAGAGATTTTTACTTGACTATTTCCTGTTATGTACATATCGTCTACATAGAGCAATAAAATTACTATGAGACAATACTTCCTTAGAACATAAATATTAGGATCTGAGTGACAACGTGTCCAACCTACTTGTCTTAAATATAAGTCAATACATTCATATCAAGCCCTTGGGGCTTGTCGTAAACCGTAAAGTGCTTTATTAAGTTTACATACAAAATCTTCAAAACCTTTCCTAATAAAGCCAAGTGGTTGCTGTAACATAAACATATCCTGAAATAACACCATTTAAGAAGGCAATTTTGACATCTAGATGACAGATTGGCCATCCGCATGCACCAGCAATGGCGAACACAGATATTACCATAGACCACTTCACGACATGAGCAAAGCTATCAATGTAGTCTTTACCTTCCTTTGTTGGAAGCCTCTCGCTACAAGACGAGACTTAAGACGTGGTGTAGAACCATTTTGACTTTCTTTGACTCTGAACACCCACTTGCATGTTATTGCCTTTGCTCCTCGTGGTAATTTAACCAAGATCCAGGTACGGTTTTTATGAATGGAGTTCAACTATTGACGCGTGCCACTAAGGAATTTTGATAGCTTTGTCAAAGGTGAGTTGTTCTCCCATGTAGTCGATTATCTCAACTTCATAGCAGTCGAGTGTATTTCCAAGAATTTTGGCACTGTAACTCACGTAGTCTTTCCAGTAAGCTAAGTCTTTCCAGAACGCCTAGAGCGGGATGATCGGCTGACTATTTGACACATCTCCTACAATAGTATCAGAAGTAGGTGTTGTACTTTTGTCAGGACTGTCAACAGTAGGAGTTGAGTCTTGGAACCATTCAATATCAACGGTGGGTTCATCTAGTGGAGGTGGATAAGGTGAAGCATACGAGATTAAAGGAGTTGGTGCTGTTTCCAAATCTGATAAACTAGATTTCTGAATGGACGGAAGTATCACCTGAGTAGATGTACTCTAAGAACTGAGGTGTATCGTCAGTATGTAGAACATTTTTAGTACTGACAGAGCAAGTTCTTGATTGATGTTTTCTATTATAAGGAAGTAAAATATCTAGATCGTCAACAAGTTCAGGATCGTATTGGGCTATAAGTCCAAAAACAGACTCGTTAAACCTTACGTTTCTACTGATATAAATTTGTTTGTTAACAGCATCATACACACGATAGGCATTTGACTTACTGTCATAGCCTATAAAAGTAACTGGTAGGGATCTTGCAGAAATTTTGTCGAACCTAGTTGTAAGTAAGACATAAGCTGCACATCCAAAGACTCTAAAGTGCTTGACGTTTGGAATAAGACCTGTCAACTGCTGAAAGGGTGTTGACATCTACATTGCTTTTGTTGAGAGTTGGTTTAAAATATAAACAGCTGTTCTTGCGGCCTCCTCCCAAAGTGCCTTAGGTAATTGAGCATAAAGTAGTAAACTTTGTGCCATCTCAAGTACAGTCCTATTCTTTCGCTTAGATACGTCATTTTGTTGTGGAGTGTATGCACAAGTTAAGGCATGATGAATACCTGAGTAGACGCAGAAGTCATGATAAGTTTTGGAGAGATATTCTACTCCTTTGTTTGTTCGGAGTGCTGCAATCTTTTGACAATAACTATTCTCCACCATTACTTTAAAATCTTGAAATTGCTATAGTGCCTCGTCTTTGGTCCTCAAGACATAAATCCAAGTATACCTGATAAAATTGTCAGTAAACATCACTATATATTGTTTCTTTGTTAAGGATTCAGAAGGAAGAGTCCCGCATAAATCACAGTGCAACAGCTGTAATGCACAGGTTGTTTGAGTATGAGAGTGTTTGGGAATACGATCTTGACTTTGCTTTGATTTCAGACAAGTAGCACGTAGAGATTTAATGTGACAAATCTGAGTAATTCCTACAACCAGTTTCTTAGAGGCCATCAAATGGAGTTTCTAATAGTTTGCATGACCCAATCCTACAATGCCAAAGTTCTGCCTGAAAAACTGAGCAGGTTTGAAGGTCAGGTTTAGGCTCTTATTATATTTCAAACTTTAGTAGAACAAAGAAATCTTGTTGGAGAAGACGATGCTGTGATGGCTCGGAGAGACCTCCAGGCTTAATCAACTTGTATAAACTGTCATGTGGATCTCGTTCTACCTGCAATAGTATGGTACGTGGATTTACTCTATCAAATACATAACGATTCTTGGAATTAAAAAGTGCTTTATGGCCTAGATCAGTCAGACTTCCAACAAACAGCAAATTTTTCTTCACACCTGGCATGTAAAAAACATCACACACTTTCTTATGATTCAATGTAAGTGAGACTTTTCCACAAACCGGAAGATCCTGATTGCATGCAGTTCTAACTGAGATATGGTCAGCCTGATTTTGAAATTAGAAAGAAGTGAACTATTTCCAGTTAGGTGTGAGGAGCCTCTACTATCAAAAAACCATGACTGTTTTTCTTCTACTTGACTCAAAAATGCAGAAATTACATTTGCTAAATCGTTGACTACTGTATTGTCTACGGTATGAGGAGCATTGTTGTCAAAAAACACAACATCAGCTTCTTTAAAAGCAACCTTGCAATGTTCATCATGAACATCGAGATAACATTTCATATTGTTTGCCTCTGACTGCTTTGAATTCTTGAGAGTGTTGTAAGAGATCTGAAGTGCTTCAAGCTCTTTTTGAAGTTGGTGCTGACGGCATTCATACGACTAGTGTACCATTTCTCCGCACTCATTGCAACTGCCGGTTTTCAAGCTCGGAGTAGCAGACAATGAAGAGCTGTTTCTGTTACTGTTATAAGATCTTTCTTGAGAACGCCTATGAGGAATACGAGAGTTAGTGTATCTCTGAGAAGAATAATTCTGAGAATGGTTATGAGAGGCATGGCGGTTGTGAAACTCATTCTGATCTCGGTTACTCGAGTTTTTTCTATCATATCCGTGGTAGTCACGATCACTGTTGATTGTTGGAATGAAGTAGATCTACTCTTATCTGTATGATATTGCTGCTTGTCTTGTCTGCTATGTTGGGTGGTGGCAATAAGAGACTCGGCTGCTACGCCGGTTTTGATAGATCTAACCTCACGAGTCATTTCTTCATTAGTAAGAAGAGTAAAAAACTGTGAAAGCGTGTAAGGATTGTGAACAATGCTAGTTTTAGTGGAAGAAGCAAATCATGACCAACTTGTACGGAAACTCATCAGAAGAAGAGGTATGAGTTCTGAATCTTTCACTGTATTGTTGCAGCTTGACAGTTGGTTAGTGAGATTTCTCACGGCACGCATGTGAGTTTCGATAGATTGACCCTCTCTCATTGAGAGATTAGACAGTTTTTGTCACAAGAGTTGGCGTCAATCTTCACTTGCAGACGCAAATACTGACTCTAACTCTTTGCACATCAGATGAGAATCAGACATGGCAGAAATATGATGAACAATGTGCTCACGCACGTTTATTATAATGTAGTAAACAACGTCATCACGCTGTTCAAGAATGATGTCGATTTTCTCCTTAATCTCTTCGTTAGCAGTATCTCGTTCTTGCTTGGCCGTTATTGCATTTTTATGTGCATGATCAATGAGTACTTCGGGAACCTCAAGTGCACGTAGTAACTTGGGTAAAGCATTGTTTTGTTCGACTGCAGCATAACATTTCTTATTGCGTAAGATGGCTCACATTTGCGCAGCTCAAGCAGTGTAGTTGTTTATGCCGTCCAGCTTCTGTGTGGGGTCGATGTCCTTCGCTTCTCTTGAGAAATCCATGGTTCCGAAAGGAAGAGACAGAAAAAAAACTTCAAATACTGAGGTCACCAAGTTAAGGCATTCGCAATCTTAACTTGGAGGATCGAAGAGAACACTTATGCTCTTATACAAGGTTGGAATCATTGATTTGTGATCAGTTAGATTTGTTTTGATCACTAAGAAGTCTTGTACGTATAGTGTAGTAGTCTACGACGATAATCTATAACCGTAGTGTAATGGATAACTGATCATCTAAGTCCACTACTTTGGACATTGATACAGGTGCCAAGTCTTGTGTAATATTAGCACTCTAAGAGTAACTTTCGAATCTAACTTATTCTAACACAAAGTTCTTGAAACTCTCGGTCCGCTCTGAAACTTTGAAGCATTTTTGGCATCAAGCGGTAGCCGTTTATTACAGAAAGATAAGGGCTTGGGATATAAACAATGACGCTTGAGGATTTACCGGGTATCAAGAGCCTACTATTTCTACCATGGCAAATTTTTATCTCTATAAAATCTACTCTTTCACACGCATCTTAAACTATAAACAAACATCACATATCATGGAAACCTGTTAACTTTAACTACATCTGAAGTGCAAGGAATAATGGCGAGCAGTGTGAATATCATGATAAGTGTGTTCCATCTCCATTTCAAAGTGCTTTGCAAATATCGCAATGTAAAATGAAGAATTTCTTGTATGGGAAAATTCGCAATAAGATTAAGAACAAGAGTATGTAATAATATCTCAATTTGAGACAAATTTCGTCAAAATCGGAGTTGTGAATGAAACTTTATGGGCATTTGAAGTTTAGAATTTGATGTAGGATGCCATGAAAGCTCGTTCAAGCTTTTAGGTCAACTCATCTTCAATTTCGTTTGTGATGTCTAGACAATTTGGTGTGAGAACAAGGGCTACATTGTGTCGGAAAGAGCTCAAAAGAGATCTTTGATTCCGCACTAGTTAGATCACAAGTCGAGTTGCGGCAAAGAAGTTACAAGTGATAAAAAAATTTGAAAGTTCGAGTTGGAGTATATGGTAGTTGTTGAATAGCAATTTCATTGCAAATATTCAAAAATAGAAAATGGATTACATCTCAATTCAAAGAGTGTGAAAAAAGCTTCAGTTTGGTATAAAAATCGCTGTGTTTTGTTGAACAGTGGAGAAATTATAAATAAATTGCATCTCGGAAAGTTTGAAGCATTTGAAGGCCGCCATGTAGCGATTTCTAGTGCTTACAACCTTGAGAACCCTATTTACACGTGGAAGAACATATTTTACACTTTGTAAGGTGTGTAAGACAATCATTTGCAAAACAAGATTGCAAATCTAATGCAAACTCAAGTGATCTTTCATCAACAAATGTTACTACCTCTAGTTTTAATGAATATTCGCCTATGGATGAATTTTCTATGTGATGATATGATTATGACTTCTGCACATCACCAAGGCTATTTGGTGATGTTTGGATTCTTGATAGTGTATGAAGCTTTTACATCTGTTATATTCAAAATTTCTTTGCTTCTCTTTCTAAATCAAGAGAATCAATTTCCATGGAGAATGATTAATTTTGTCAAATTGAAGTCATTAGAACTATAAAGATTCACATGTTTATGAAATTATACGTACTTTCACTCATCTCAGCCCTAAACTTGCATCCTTGTGCGTTGTAGTATGGGTGGAAGCTTGTGACTTACATGTACTTGTTTAGTTTACTTCAAGCATTATAACTTGTTATCCAATGCTCCCACGACATAAATGTCACATTATCTACAGATTGCGGCCAATCTCAATACTTTCGGGGTGCCCTGTGCGCCGAGCATGGAAAACTCATCACTATCTCGTGACAGCGTTGAGACCATAGCATGTTACAAAAACGCGGTTGAGAGCGCGGCGGCCAAAATTATTTTTTTTCTGGATAAGCCCACCTGGCGAATGGAAGTTATTTTCTTGTCAACTGGCTACCCAGCTCACCCGTGGAAAGGGAGGGGTGGGGAAACGCGCGAACGCAAGCTGGTGTGCTTCCTACCTGTCCAGGTGGAAAGGCGACAAGGTCTAGAAACTGCATGGGACCTGATTAGCCAACTCTTTGATGACAATTATCAAAACAATATCTCAAGACACCAAAAACCATAGAGTGTAACCGCGAGATCTAACGGTGTAATAAATCCCTAGCTTCAAGTCAGAGTACCTTTAGTACCCCAATGCCCAAATATTATATTCGACCGCCAAATACAAAAGAAAACAAGTTTTCTTCTCGACCCAATGAAGAGCTGGCAACAACAGAAGGAAAGGGGTCTATGCAGTACCTGCCTATACTCGGCAGATTGAACTCTACAAAATCAACTGATATCATTCCAGGTGATCCGGCTGCGTGTGGAATGGAATGGCTGAAAGCAAAAAGGATTCCGGAGGTGCGAAGAGGGAGAGGCCAGGAGGGCTCGACCTGCAGGTTTTATTTTTTTATTTTATTTTTGTTGTGCCCTCTCCCCTCTCACGGGGAGAGTGCTACGCCCTTTCGATATATAACCCGAAAGTTAAGTAATGTTAGAGACCCGTATGATGGGCTACTATCTAGTAGGGTTCCGAGAGCACTGTAGAAAATCATTTGGGATTTTTCCCAACTGTTTGCTAAGTGATCCTGGGACCAAGCCCTAAAGTATTGCGTAGCCTGACTTTAGCCAAAGAACCCGAAGAATCATATAAAAAGAATGATGAATCACCATAGATAAATAAAAGGTGATAAATAAATATATTTCCCTTTTTATTGGCTGTTCGCGGGATAGAGTAATTGGTAACTCGTCAGTCTCATAATCTGATTGCTGTGGGTTCGACTACGACTCCCGCCGAAAAAGGTGATAAACCGGGTGAGACGAAAAGATTCAAGAGAGGAACAACCCAGCCACAAAACACGAGGTCCGGCTCTAGATATAACTTTTCTGATTTCCTTTTCCGCCTGGGGCTTTAGCCCGATACACACACAATTATTCAATTGATCTAAAATACAAACATTTAAAAATTCTCCTCTTTTTAATGACCTAATTATATCCCCTCTACATATATAGATCACTTGCACCATCAGTCTTCCCAACCTTCAATCAGGTCAAGTCGATCTTAAGCTTTCACCCAAATTACTCTCTTCTCTAGCTTCTCTTCACGGATGTATCATCTATGTCAACCCTAAAACTCCACGCTTCTGCGTCATTATATCAGCAACCAGACTCGGGAATCCTGCTGGTGCAAGCTATTTATGTATGTAGAAGCATAATTAGAGTTTAGGGTTCTAGCTTCTCTCTCTCCTCTGCACATAGTACTCGCTTCTTTAGACTCACTAGCAAGACTCAAATGAAGTAAAACATAGACCATTCTTTCACCTAGCAGAGGAAATCCACACTTGTAAATACTTGGACAAGACACATTCTTATTTGTTGCCTGGTGTAGTACTATCTCTGTTCATTCGGCTACCTTCTGCTCTAGCCCCTTGAGCCAAAGCCAAGATGTTAGAAGTTATTTTCCAACTTCCACACTTCCAGCCCAAGCTAGACAGACTGCAAGGAGAGATAATGACCGCCGACCGTCAAATCCATTCAGAAGTCCGGGCATTTCCAAGGAACTTTGATTGGAAACAACCACCTTCTTCATCTTGCCGTTTTTGGGTGTCACAGATTGCTGAGAGACCTCTCGAACTTTGCCGTCTCGCTAAACTGAGTTTTTGAGCTTGAAATCGTTCATATTCTTGTCTTCACGCGTACTCCCCCTTTGAAATTTCTTCCAATGCTTTAAGGCCGAATGTATGGAGCCCAAGAAAGTGCCGCCTGGTGCCCTGTAGTACCACTGTGCCTTACCAGTTTTACGAATCCTTCCGGAATCCAGGTGGAATGTAACCAAGAATCTTCGTAAAACTTGTAAGGCTCAGTTTTACAAAGATTTTTTGTTACATTCCACCTGGATTCAGGAAGGAGATCCCTGGTGGCATCTTCATCTAGGTACATCAAATCAAGTGATGTGGTGTAACCAGATCACTTGGTGTTCAAGAAAGTAGGAAACGGAAAGAGTCTTGCAAGAAAGTAGGAAACGGAGTAGTTAATATTAAACATAACATAACCATGGACGACGAGATTGATTTCATGGATCTAGATGAAGATGTCCATCAAATCTTCATCTAGATCCATCAAGTCAATCTCATCGTTCATGGTTATCGATAGATATCATCCGTCGTCTATCTTGGTTCCTGGGAGGGCTTCCTCAGAGCATTTTAGATCATGCGTTTCATTTTCCAGTTCACAAAAGCCACCACGTCGCAGAGTGAATCTCTTCTCCTTGTCTATGAGCATGCGGATGATGTTGAACCGTCAATCGGATTCAAGTGACAGGGGATCTCTTTCTCAAGGATTCAAAGTCTCAAGGATTACATACATCGCTGTTTCCGCAGCACGCAAAGGATATGCATAGAAAGGCGAAGTCTGTAGAGTATGAAAATGATCAGCATTCTAGGTCTCTCAACAGAGGACTGGAACATTCGATCAGTCCTGCACTCAAACTTGACAAAAAAAAGTTGTCAAGGCCTCAAAACAAGATTTCCATGACTTGACCACAAGAGGAGAGTATTCCTTTCACTAATTCGCAGTTGGTAGACGAATGTCTTGATCCTGGGCGCTCACTCCAAAATACAGGGAACCAGAACCATGATAAGAAACCTCCTATGAAAGATTCTGCTACACAGTATACTTCTGCTGAGTTTTAATGTGCACCGAAGCAGGAACAAGCTTTGTGCAGAGGATCGATTGAGGAGGGAGCGCGTGAAGTTCGGACCCTTGTGGAAGCCGAGAAGATTACATGTCTTCCCTGAGTCGAGGGACGAGAGACAGCTGCTATATGTATGGACATAGACATGGCACACGAGATGAAACACCTCATGCTTCGAGTTTAGTAGTGAGGGAGGCAGGGAGGGAGGACCTGACCCAGGCGTGCAAGCCCTCGCTCGTCCAGTAACGGGGGGCGGGAGGCAGGGAGTGAGTACTTGACTCAGGAGTGCATGGGTACAGTATGGTGATTTACAGTAACCCCAGAAGTTTCCAGACCCACATTTGCAGTACTCATTAAATGATGCAATCTAAGTTTGAGTGTGGACCGAAGCAGGAACGTCGTCAGGATCTCTTGCATGACGATGTTAAGTTTCTCAGCATCCACATCAACATCCACCGAGCTTCTCAAAGATCTTTTGTCAATTGAGGGTTTCGATGGGAAGGCAAAATTGGACCTCTCATGCTTCTCTCCGCCAGATGGAAGAGAGTGAAGAGCTTCTGGGATGAAGAATTCAGATCTGCACATACGCCCTCGACACAAAGAAGTACCTCTTTCCTCTTTAATTTTTAGAGTTCCCAAAGAAAAACGTTATCAAAGCAATTGTACGTACATGAAGATGGCGTCTCAACAGATCCAAGCAGATAGAGTCCACTTATCAACTACAAGTTTTAACTTTATGAATTTCAACTTATGCTTACGTACAGTAGTAGGGTTAACGGGAAGGAATGGACATTTTTTGATAAACTAGAAGAGTTGTACAGAACAAAAAATAAGATAAATGAAATTTAGTTGAATGAAGCTAGCTTTTGAAGAAATTTCATTGAGTGGATTGGAAATATGAATTATGGATATTTAACCTGTAGTAGAACTACGAGCAATGAATTTCATTTACACTAGTCGTAACTTATTTCAAACTTTCTCAAAACTACATCTTCATGTTTCTTGTAGTTTCGTAAATCAATTTATTTGCAATAAATTGGATCTTTGGATTTTGGACTTTTTTGGAATAACATTTTTGGACCAAATTGTTGATGCATGGGTTTGATTTGTGTGTGTTGCTTTATTTACCAATATTCTCCAAATCTCTATAATTTCTGGCAAATCCCTACACATGTTAAAGTGATATGTGCAACTGCCGAATCCATGGATTATATGTAATTAAAACCAGATTGTATCAATGTGATATACTCGAAATTTATTGGATTTAGATATGTGCAACTAGATATATAATTGATTTCTGTACTCAATTTAGATTCAATCTGAGCAAATCTGACTTCAGTGAAAAATGTGTATTACAATGTCATAGACAACGTTCTTACGTTGGTCTTACCTTGCATCACTGGATATAAGTTTGATCCATATGCTCATGGTTGTGTTATCAAGGTTAAAAATCATGGTAGTGAATAGTTTGAGGTTGAAATTAATATTACAACGTAATTAACTAAATATAGGATCATTATCTGGTTTTTTGGTATATGAATGATGAGCCCATTCAAACAATTTGCTGAGGTTGATACTAAGATTAATATACAAATTGAGTTTTGATATGTCGAGCTAAGACGATTACATTTTTAAAAAACTGAGAAAAAAACCTATGATATATCACAACCCCTGGGTAACTTTCGGCAGAAGAGGATTTGGAGATTTCTTCAATGCTGGTCACGATATGTGGAATATGTTGCTTTAGTTAGATGTCACATTACTTCCTCACTTCATGTCTCTGCCAACCTTGTTCGCCATGTTGGTACTCTACACGCATTTATCATGATGGGCATCAATACGTTTTCTTGGAGATAGTTTCTTGAATTTGATGTACTTGCTATTTACAAGATAGGAAGGTCATATTTTCGAAACGCAAGAACGTGGATCTTTGTATAAAGTTGACTCCATTCCATACTGGCGGTATAACTTCCATCATCGTGAATGAGTATTGACAGGTGTGACGTTTCGAATGGTTTCTTTTTATACCAATCCATATGTTCTTCATGAAGACATTTAAGCATAAACTCGACAGGAGGCAATCTGCTGTACGGTAAGAATGTAGGGTAAGGTCATGTGCGTCGTTTCTTTGGACGTACAAGACACTTGGTACTTCGTCTCGAATTACAAAACCACCGCAGTCGCTGACGATACTTAACACAAGTTGCATAACCAAGCATGTACACCGTACTCATGTGCATTACACAAAAACAAAAATTGTGTACAATATGAGGGATTTATTATCAGTCCTTCCATACCCAATAAGCATATGTTGACAAGAAGCCCTTTTGTTCTCTAACAAATGTACACTACCACAAACTTCAGCTTTGCTTTTCCAAAAAGCTGTGGCCTGGTGGCTGTAAATTTCTGTCATCCTTCACACGCTCTGCAAGATGCTGCATCTTACATGACAGGATATTCTAAGAGCTGCTACTAATCTAAGTCTAAACAAAAGAATCTGGCTCTATATATGAACATACATTGCGAGATTGATTGCCTTATCAAGGCCGATCCTTGATATCTGATACACATTTGATAAATTTACAAATCGAATTAACAAAACCAATACTTCGCCGTTAAGCAAACTCTGTGGTTCTTGCATCTTCTCAGGTTGCCAGCTGCCGCTTGGCGTTTGACAACCGCCGCCGTCTTTCCTTTCGACGGACCAGACATTCGCCACACCAACTTGAGAAGTCACGCTGATATTTCTTCAGCTCCCGAAACTCGGAACTGCATTGCATCGAGCTTTAACGTCAGGACAGAAATAAAGTACTCCTCAGCTTCACATTCGAGGCCACCTCTTTAGGACAAAACCGAATCTAGCGGAATGCAGTACTAGAAGCAACCCATGTGCCTCACCTTCGGCACCACAGAATAAGATTCGTTCGTTGACCAGCAGTTATGGCCTTAGCGCCATGACGATGCCGCCCAGCATGCAAGATAGCACGCCCAGGAACATGTGAATATTCTAATACCTCCTGCACCAAGAAATTCAATAAAGATCAGAGTCAGATACTTCCAGACGATCATTCAAACTTAATTCGCACAAATGACTGATTCTCAGTAGAAGCTGTACTTCCTCAGCTTCTCTACCTTCCTGCGAATCCTCAAACAAGATAATTGACGATGTTCGTGGCGGTCTAAAATCATTTGAGATTGAGACTGAACTCAACATCTGTCTATTGACATTTTGAATACACAAGGGAGCGGCGAATTTCGGGTCATGGACCTGTGAAAGTCCGAGTGCTAAAAGATATAGATAAGATACTGAGATGGAACCGAAAACAAAAGAAAATGGAATGTGAAAAGAAACAAAGCGAGGAGTATAGACACGAACAGCGAATGAGGCCGGCGCAGGGACCATAAACATCCATTGACTGACACAGTCATCAAAAACGTCTGCCTTTCGACATGTGCATTGACTACTGACGACATGAAATTATTTCTTTTCCTTTTCAGACATCACACCCTTTGAACCAAATAGGAGGAGCAAAATACCTCTGGACGTGACTCTCCATTCACATGCTTGTCACATCGAACACCTCGGAAAAAAAGCTCACCGCCATCAAAATCTTTTCCCAAGCACACGTTAAGTGTGACTTCGGAATCATCAACGTGAAAACCTGCGAAAAAGGTGGAAATACACCAGAAAAGAAGGGTGATCTTTATGAATCCATAAAACCTAGAGAAAGACTGTTTGATATCCACCTAGGTATGGGAACAAATATCTTCGTCCCGTAATATACAGACAAAGAGTGTACTACCAAGTAATAGCCTAAGGCATCATAAGCACATACTTGCTCCATAACAGGACGCCTTGACTAGAACTGATGACCAAGTTTGGGTAAGCTAAAAGGTTCTGTGCAGATGTCATGCATGTCACTTAAAATACACATCTGTTACATGAGTAGGTTACTTCAAAGACAATGAGTCAACGATCTAAATAGACGCATTGTAAACTCGCACGTTGGATGGAGTATTAGACTGAAAACCGAAAGCTGATCTCTAACCCACCGATAACATATTTAGGGAGAATGGGTGTAAATTGATCATTTTAAGTGAGCTGATTGATTAAAGAAAACACTAAAGAAATAAAGAAAAGAACATAAGCAAAAATTTTAAAGATGAAAGAAAGCGCACCAAGATCCAGATCACGATCCATGCTGTACTCCACCACGAACCCGTGGTGGGTGTCCAACGATGAGCCTCCGACATTTGCAAATAGAACTTCACAACGAAGAACAAAAAGTTAGCATACTGTACTCATTGGTATATATCTCTGTCAGCTTGAAGCCCAGAAACCCTGTGCCCTGGCCAAGCGGCGCTAGTTGGAACAGACCGGGAAAAAGAATAACTGAGATGACATTAAGCAGGAAGATGAAGTGGAGGAGGAATAGGGAACAGATTGTCTTTCTTCTCCACCTTATGGAGAGTACCCCATAAGGCAGGTTATTTCGGAGGTTCTGGGTCTTAAGCAAGAAACCCTTTATCAACCTGACCAGTTTGCTGTCCCCACAGTTTTGACTCAAACCAGCTACAGCTTTGGGCTCTACATCAGGGCTCAGTCATTCTCAGTATGCTACTGGCTGGGTTTGATTTTGTGGTATAATGTCTTTTTTATTCGACCTGTGCTCCGTGTAACCATATTCACGAAAGTAGTTCGTCCTGTGGACCACAGGGTGTGCAAGTAAAGGCATGGCACTCCTTGCACTTCTTGCATGTAAAAACGATGGCTCCTATCCTGTATGATTTCACATTCTGTCCAAACCCTACACGCACCTGAACAGGGAGAGGTGAGTATTCTCGACGAATTCGTCGTATCCATGCACGAGCTCTTGTAAGCAGACTCCAAAGTTGAGCCAAAAGAATGCAGGCCCGGAGAGGGACGCCCCCACGAACCAAGGCGAGGATTCGGCTTGTATGTGGAAACGTAGAACCTGGTTTAAGGTCCACTTCCCCTATGTTTTGTTACTCTTAGATCCCAGTTATAGCTTCAGAAACCTAAGTTTCAGAGAGCCCGAGAAATATGCAGCCTCCCTTTATTAACACCTGCACCTGACTTATAAGGTTCAACGATCTTCTCTTCGATATCGCGTTTTCCAACCTAGCTCATGAAAGAGTATGATCATATGAAACAAAGGTACCAGTTTCGACTGTGACTCTTGTGATGACTCTTCACTTTTTGTACTGCTCACCACACCTCAAACAAATAAAAAACGACAAGGATCTTGCTCATCCGCGCTCCTACCACAAATCTCTGAACAACTTCCTCATAGTTCTGCCTCACTACGGCCGGATTTTCTGCCTAGCCATTGATGTGAGCCCTAAAGACGCCAGAAAGTGAGCAAGCATCCACCTTTAAAACTCAGTGCTCTAAAATGTTGCGATTCACATTGATACTTAAATGTGCGTCTCTCTAGAGACGCATTTTCTTAGTAAGGAGCTGGTCAAGTTGAATTCGTAAAATCCTCGGCCAGTTCAGATTGATGATTATCGCCATCATCTTGGCTTCGAGTCAGAAAGAAACGTACTGTTTCCTCAGACATGATCAATCCTTTAACAGCTCTACCACAACTGATGAGTTTGTTTCCAAAGCTTGACTGCATATATTCCCCTGTGTTGGGGAGAACTTCATACCTGAGCTACGTCACCTTTTATACGACAGGATCTTAAGGACAGGGTTTACCCTAAAATTATCCTAAAATTCCATAAATTCATTCACGTTGCTGTGTCCCTGAAATTCACCTATTCTACTTCATATCATAATCAACAAACGGTTGTGAGCTCCTACCTGCAGCCATAGGGTTGATGAAGTTTATCATCAGCTCGTTCAGCATCCCTTCCATGCCTATGTCGTCAAGTACTGCCCCGTAATTGTTCATAGTATTGGGTCTCATTACCTTGACTTTGGCCTCTAAGGCCCAATTCTCGAAATGCTCAACCTGGCAATGAACACAATGAGCTAGGAACGCCGGAAGAAGGAAAGGAAACCGAAACCAGCACCCAGTGTCAGAGAAGAGGGGGGGAAGGATAGAATAGACATCTGAGAACAACTAGATGAATAAAAGCTGGCAACTTCCTAGCAATAACATTCATTCCTGCTTGAAATTGAGGGGAAAAAAAGTCAAATTTCGCTCCACACCTCTTCTAACATCATGGAGCAAAAGGTAGCGTCGAGCATGTTGAATGTATAGACCCCTGGTGAATGCTCCGTTATAATTTTCCGCAAAGCTTCCTCGGACCCGTCTTTGACTGCATCCAGGAAAGTACGATCGAAGAAACGGTCCGGATCGAGCGAGTAGAGCTCTTCGTGAAGGGGCTGTTGACAAATGACATACCAGTTTTAACATGGACCAGTCTTCTAGAAACCATTAGAAAAATTGGCTTTGTAGGAGGCAGGGGAAACCGTTACACATGAATGGAGAAGCAACAACTTTCAAGCAACGATCTTACGAACCGACCTGGTAATTGTAGCGGATTCGCTCTCGATACTCCCGGTGTTTCTGAAAATAGCAGCGTGAATGAGTAAGATGGAGAGCTTCAAGCGCAGAATGAAGCTCATTGCTATGAATTTTGGGTGACATTCATTTCGTGAAGATGCCCGGGTAAGAACTTCCAACTGACAGCTAAGGACCATCGAAGTTCCGACCTCTGATTTCAGACAAGAGTACAAAAACTCCGGAAACTCGCTGATTTCAGGTAAATTGGAGATCCAAAGTTGCTAGACCTACTGAACTGAAGCATGTGCAAAAATTGATGTACAACACGGCGTAGTGATCAACAGTGTGCTCGACGATCTCACCCTGGCGCGCTCTCCATTTGGCCGGTATTTCGCTAAGATCCGCTCCAGGAAGGAAATTTTCTTATCCCGAGAAGCACTCAAGAGATCTCCGGGTAGATACTGCTCCATGCCACTGTACAAGGCTGGTGGATATTCCAGATCTTCCAGATCATCATACTTATCGGGCTTGTGCCCAGCCGTGGGGCAGCGCTGGAGTTTGGGCAGAGCACCAACCTCCCTCTCCGCCTCATCTCCGAGGCTTTTTTGATGTCCAGACGAGACCTGGCCATTGGCATTGTGGTGATGGTGATGCTGCAAAGCTGGCTTCTTTCGGCTGGGCATTACCTCAGCGGCCATGCTCAATGGCTCTCTCATCTCCCATGCAACGCCAAACTTCTCTCAGCAGTCCTCGCACCCACAGCCCTAAACTCCTCCGCAAGCACACTCTGCCCTACGAAGCGAGGAGCGAATAATTCACTGGTTATGCACGGAAGGTCCAAACCACAACCGATACACGGAATGCAACACATCCACCTTTTACCTTTACCTTCTCGAGTGCCCTCTGAATTCACAGCGAGCACACAGTCACTGGGCGATGAGTCCGATGACATCATCGACACAATCAAAAGCTCGGCCAGACCAGGCCAGCCCGCGGAGTCTATGGTCTCCACAACCTCAGGCTACGAAACGCAAACACCAATGGCAACTCGGAAACAATGACTGACTAGGTCTTGTGCATTGCGCTGCACTCTCCCTGACGCGAATCTTGACGAGTGCTGACTCGCGTGTGGAAGAAAAGAAGTTTATAAAACAGAGCTCACATGAAACAGAACACATTTAGGGGAATTATAATACAACTACAATAAAACGCCAGAATAAAACCGGAAATTCGGCGCAATCTCCATGGGAAGAAGCGCATATTGGAAATCCTCGTCACCAGATTTTAACTGCTTGCCATGAATGACTGACTGACTGACTGACTGCATGAATGGATAGGGCTGGGACAGAAGAGTGCGTTCCCGAATCCGACCTCAACACCTCCACGTCAAACCGGCCACGACGACACCATTTGATCCCGCCTCGACTCTGTATAATACATGCTCCCGCCGAGCGACCGACACTATAACGTGCAGCTCTTATACTTGTCCCAGAATTTGTCAGTTGGGCGATTTATTTCATGGCTCCAATAAGAGCATCTGCGCAACCATCGGAGCCATCGGAGCCTCCGTTCCTTCCACCCTCTCTCTCTCTCCCTCCCTCCCTCCCTCGATCCCTCGCTCCCTCGCTCCCTCCCTTTCCTCCCTTTCGAGTTGCAAGTGCGATCAACTGAAAGCGAGTTTGCTGCACCAGTACAGGAGCAGCAGAGCAGCAGCCCTGGGATAAGATTCGATTGATGACGATCGATTTACGACGCAGTTCATTCACGTGAGCAAGATCTCGAGAACCCAAAACCTGCAGGCCCTGCCGCAAGTGTCATGATGCTTCGGGCACAGTCTGCTCTCGTTGTGCAACTCGTTTTAGTTTTTTAAATCAGAGCTGTTGTCCCATCATGCACTCGAATTTTTTCAAGCCCATGACTTCGATAATATATATTCGTTTGAGCTCACTCACGTTTAGAACTGCACACTACTACATCCACTTGTAGATTAAATAATTGAGGAGAAGGTAGAGAAGGCATTGACGGGGGAAAATAGCATTGAAATATGAATCCAAATTTTTTAAAGATTTTCTGCGAGATGATTATAACAATGGGGCATATTTCCTAATCTCACTAGAAGCTTTATTGTGCTCTCTCAAAATGTGTATCCTCTCAAGGCTGCTATACTAACGTCTAGTTCAATACTAGTGGCATCGTAAAGCATCGCTCTAATTAATCTAACACGGTTTAAAGTACCAAAGGATTCCTCCTTGAATTAGTTCTAAGTCAACAACTTAGTTAACTAGTATTTACAATACATATGTATATCCGCGGGGAGACTAGCAGATAAAAAAATTTAATTTTTCCCCTATTAATTTACTTGGAGTAATTTGTAATAAATGAATCATCAAATGTAGATTCCATTCATTGAAATTGACGGACTATACTACAACAATTTTTGATGCTTTGCACAATCTGCTGAAAAATGAAGACCTCAGTTAACATATTAACGGAGTTCAAACATATCAACAATCTTTTCTTTGGCAACTCATTGTGATTCTTGGACACTCCATACTACCGTAAAATCATATTAAAGACTTACGTTTTATAAAGTGAGATTGCTATTATTTGTCAAAAATCTTGTTGAGTTTATCGTGAAAAAAATCTCAACAACGAGCATGTATCATGAAGATACATATTATCTCGTTGTTGCTAATACATACTGTACTTAGCTCTATATGTAGACTCTCACATGCACGATCCCTTCATGACATTTCCATCTCACATAACCAACTTCAGATGAAATTAAACCAAATGAAACTTACTAGCTGCTTTTGCTACCACTACATACTTACCTATTGGTGATGATTCACAATATGCATTTATAGTTATAGTTCTTCATCTCACACACCCAACCTACAAAAAAGTAGTAAAATATTTCTAAACATTTTACTTTAATCATACAATGTACTTCTCTTCAGTTCATTGTTAATGGTTTCAAACTAATACAACTGTATTACATGAATGCAGCTGTGTACAGTACAGATGGAGGTGACAACTATTGTCAACTCCATGGATGAGTATTCTATGAATGCTTATGATACAAGTTTGATTTCACATATCATATATAAAATATATCATTCTTTGAATCAAGATAAGTGTGTATTGAACCTAAATAATTGATACAAATGATTGTGGATGCAAAATCTATGATAGTATTGTTGATGAAGTGCACAGCCTAAGTAGTAGCGTAACATTTATTTATTAGTTGTTGTTTTGTATCAAAGGGACACCACTGTGGACATGTACCTGTAAGTGAGTGCATTTATATGAGACTCTCCAGAGCTCATCATCTCTTGTATCACTTTTCATTGTGGAATTTTCATGATTACAGAGCGAGACTTTTTCTGGGTTCAAGCGTTAGAGCTTAGTGTGTGATCTCAGCTCCACACATTTACAGTTTGTTTTCTTGGTCATTAAAAATTGTGAGCATTGCTCCAGTGCTAGTACTAATCAAAGCTTTTTGCACCTAGTTGTGAAGCGTAGCTCCAACTTTCTTTTCTTTCTTTCCAATTTATAGTTATAGATGGCCTTGCCAATGTCAGCATTCGATGGTTGATTCCCAGACTCTTGCAAGCTTGTGGGAATTATTCACTATCATAACAAGAAGATTTGTGTGACTAGTCATTTAAAGAAGGAGGGTGTGTGGTATGTAGTTGCTCCTTTGGGAGCATCATCGCTTGGACTGTCTTCATTCACAATACGTCAATCAATGGATGAAACATCATCTACATACGTGCTGCGACGGCGATCAATGATGAAGGACTCGTTGACAATGAAGTCATTTGAAGCTCAATATGCATCACTTCAGAACCTGAGATTACGGTGAACAACCTGATCTATCTTATCGTCGTGATAAGGTGATGTGGATTCTCATTGTATCGGTTGTATCGGTTAAGAATGACTTGGTAATTGAGACAAGTGAGTTTGAGGATACTAGAAATGCTTGGAATCAGTTGCAGACTTCGTACGAGGTACGTGACGTTACTAGAAAACTTCATCTCAAGAGTCGTCTCAAGAGTCTTCAAGTCTAAGAAGATGGCGGCATTGAACAATACTGTCGTGAGTTCAAAATTGTACGCTCACACCTACTCTTGATTGACCGACAACTATTTAAACAAGATGTAATGGAGATTTTGTTGAATGCACTTCCAAATTTATACGAATCATTCGTCACTACGATCAATGATAGTGACGAGGTATCACCACTTGATGTACTCGTGGGAAGAATCCAACACATGAAGAGTAGACATTCACTCAAGTATGGCAACAAAGGTATTGAAGAAGCTCTCTTTATTCGAACGAACCGATTCTCTAAACCATTCTCACAGAATCGTAACTCAATAGTAATCTGTGACTATTGTGGCAAACGAGGTCGCTATTTCAATCAGTGTCGTGAGAGAGAATCTGACATCAAAAAATTAGATGATGGGAGAGTTTCAAAGTTTCTCAAACATTTTGTTAATATGGCAAATTTCTCCATCTGAAACTATAGACCATGAAAGTCATGACACTCATGAATTATTTGATGTTGTTATGGCTACTCTAGATAGCAATCATGACTCAAAATGGTACATAGATTGGGTAGTCTCAACGCACATCATAAGAAGGAGTGAAGTTTTTGATACACTCAAAAGATCTTCAGTTAGTTCATCTGTTCGTACAGCTGGTGATCAATGTTGTAGTTGAGACATCTACCGGTGAAATAAAGAGCTTGGACAATATTCTCTATGTACCGAGTATGACCAAAAGTTTGCCATCGGTCGTACAAATAGCCAAGAAGGGGTTTGTAATCATGTTTGACAATAGAGGTTGTGCAATCTTTTGTAAGAGTGACAGGTCTGTTGTGACTACAGGCTCACTTGACTCATCAAACGGCCTTTACAAACTCCCCCTCAAGTCCGTGTTACGTGCATAAGTCAACATTTTTGAAGATGTATCATCTGATTCTTCTGAAGTATTATTGTGATACAGACGGTTGGCACACCTCAACTTTTGAGGGATCAAGTTTCTTAGTGATCATGACATGATTACCGTCATTCCAAAATTACCAACTTACTCCGATCTATGTGTCGGTTGTCGACTCGGCAAACAAACAAGGAAGTGTTTTTCCAAGAATCATACACAAAGCACTAGAGTATTTGAGCTCGTACACTCTACTCTTTGTGGACCTCTACCTATAAGATGACTCGCAGGCTCTTTTTACTTTATAACATTTGTCGATGACTATTCACGCAAAGTCTTTGTGTATTTTCTTCAACATAAGAGTGAAGCTTGTCTAAATTTGTAGAATTTTTGAAGGAAGTAGAAAAGCATACATGACAGTACATCAAAGTCATACTTTTAGACTGTGGGGGGAAGGAATACATGTCTGGTGAATTTATACAACATTGCAAAGAAAATGGTATTCTTAGATTCAAGCGATAACATCTCATCAGAATGGAGTGTCTTAGCGGATGAATAGTTTTTTTTTATAAAGCTCGCTCTATGATGCTAGATTATAAAGCTAATTTATTTTTATGGGCTGAAACAATTAGTATAACAACATATAAGTTAAATAGATGTCCAACTCGAGCAAACGGGAAAATCATTTTTGAGCAAAAATTTAGTACAATCAAGCCTGATCTATCACACTTGAAAGTGTTTGGATGCAAAGTGTTTATGCACGTGCACAAAGAAGAACAAAGAAAACTAGATGCACAAACATCATAAGTAGTTTTTTAGAGTTATGATCAACATTTCAAAGCCTTTAGATGTTACAGTCAAAGACGTAAATAATTACAAGTCACACATGATGTTAAGTTTGATGGGACACCTTTTGTTACAAAAAAAGAACTGAATGTTGATCCATTTCGTCTAAGTTTTACTAGTTATGAGTCATTGGAGTTAACGAGACATGAAGAATGTACTATGCCACTCGGTTGGAGTTGACCACTCCAACTGAGAGAGTATTGAAGAGTCTTCGATCGAGATCTATGGAATACCAAGCATTGAGTTGCCACATGTTCATCACTTTGATAGTAGTGATTCAATTCTTGCTCCACAATATGACTGGCCGAGTGAAGATGAGCACTTCCTTCCAAATAGCAACAACTCGTAATCACTCATGAGTAGTTCACCACCATCTACTACCTCATCCAAGACTTCATCAACATCCACTCACGTCGTGCTAAGAATACAAACAAGACCGGTTCCAAAAAGACGGTCACGCTCATGGCTCCACAATTATTGTGGAGCTTCCGTTACTAGTGACGATGGAGGAGTGGAAGGATCACACGACTTTGTCTTGGCTCTCACCAATACAAGTGAAACCATCAACTTTTGGAAGGCATCAATGCATTATGATTGGATGAACGTCATGCAAAGTGAAATTGACTTTATTGATAGAAGTGGAACTTAGCAACAAGTCTATCTTGCAGTAGGCAAGCAAAGTATCTTTGCACGATGGATCTATAAGATAAAACCATCCGGACAAGCTAAAAACATGATTATTGGCGTGTGGTTTTGAGTTGAAAATCAGGGTGGATTTTGATGAGACATTTGCACCTGTGATAAAATGGAGTATTGTGCGATCACTAAACGCTCGTGGCATTGGTTGTCCAAAGTGGATGGAAGATCATCCACTTAGACATGAAAACGGCCTTCTTGAAGAGAAACTTACGAGAGGAGGTGTTCATGAAGCAGTCGGAGGAACCTCACGTTCTTGGACAAGAGACCAAAGTATGCAAATTAATTCGCGCATTATAT